TGTCAGTTGGCCAAGCCGGCTTTACTTAAGACGGTCTCCATTCATTCATTAATGCCCAAAAGCAGCAGCGACGCGGGATAGACATCTGCGATATCCAGATACTTTTTATTACACCACTCCCGCTCCGCCGGCGAAAAAATTGCACCAGCGTAATCCCAATAAGACGTTGATTTGGGCTGAGGGACTAGATGCCATTGCTATAGCAGCGATTACAGCAGCACCAGTACACCACAGTACACCAGTTGCCCGCCCAGTAGCACAATAGCCCAAAGTTAAAGCCAACGACTGTCGCCTCGAATGCACAGTGGTCCAAGGTCGTTGGCGAAACGATAATGCCGACAGATTTAGGGTGAATGGATCAACAGATGTTTTATAGATTGCCCGCAATGATAGGTTTATGAAGAGGCTGACGAAGAATTGGGAATACTGATGATTGTTTGATGGGATCAACAGATGGGTGGCTAAATACAGTGCTACAGAAATAAAGGTACGCATTTTACGAATATAAATAAATACCGAAGCAATGTTTTGTTTCATATTTCGACTTTAAACTTAAGGGGCGACACTTAGGTTTATAAATAACATTAATCACATGATTTGTTTAGCAAGTCGGTATTACTCTTAAATATGTATTACCGCCAGTTCCGAAAAGGTCATTTTTATTGTTGTTTGCTGAATATTAGAAATTACTACTACTCCGCCGCATTATCGTTATCAAGTCATTTTAATAGTTTTAATAGTTTAAATAATTAAGTGGACATAATCAGACATATAATCAGTGGCCTAGAGCGGGTAATTAAAGAAATCTAGTTTCCACATATGAGGCATAATCTGAATCTGATGCCTGACTGATGCCCTTAGCAGATTGAAATATAAGTAATGCTAGGCGCCTTAAGGCTGACTAAGCAAACTTTTCCAGACCCAATTGCTATCAAGCGGTGATCAGGTGTAATCCGATCGTTTATAAATAGTCTGGCGTAACATCGAAAACAATTTGCGCTGTTTGAAGCACTTAATCAGGCGGCAACATCAACCTGATTATGAGCAGGGCACCATTACATAAACATCCCCAAATTGAAAAGGGGAAGTGGAGCAAAATGCGTTCATTTCCAGATCACTTTTCAACCAATGTGCAAGCCGCGCGAGCCTCTCGGTACAATCGTAAAAATGTAGGGAATTAAGTCATCCAGTGACTGTGTGTAACAGTTAACTGAATTTGTCTCTTACCATCTCGTTTGAGCCCAAAGTTGCACAACCGTGGCGAAGAAAAGTGGTGGAAAATCGGACAATTGGGGGAAAGGAGGTGGCAACGGGTATCAGATGAAAGTCTTACTCAATCCAAGTTGCAGTCTGGGGCAAAAAGTAAAACTCAGTTTGAATGCAGCGCAACTAATTAGTTTTGAGGCTGCTTTTCTTGCTGCTGTAATCGCAGTGGGCCACAGACAGCGACAATTTTCCCACTGAATTTTCACTTTTTCTTCACCCGAGCGGCTTGGTTCGCTACGTGCCCGGCTAAAGAAATCAAAGAAAAACGAGTTAAACAAAAGAATTTATGAGCTACGAAAATCTTTTGGCCCCGCTGGTGGGAAAACGGGAGGAAAAATGGTAAAAATGGGAATGGGTGGGAGTGGCAAGCAGTTCTATCTTTCTTATTTTTCCCATTGGCATCGTGGTTTTACCAAACAAAATTTCCATAAAAGTTGATGCTGGCAATCGGTGATTTAAAATATTTAAATTGCTTTGTCAAGCCAGATAAAGCACATACCCTTAAATCCAATGTGAACATACGCATATATTCTTATTTAAGCTGTCTAAAAGATCTCAATTAATTCCTGCTTGGCGCACAAACTAAATGATTTACGCTAGGTCCAACATAAACTCTTGGAGATTTATGATTTTCCAGATGAAATATGGCTTTGGTAGCGCAGGATTTCTCTAAGCTAAAATATTGTGCTCCTTTTAAATTGTGAACCGTACGAAAAAGCCAATGCAGCTTGTAAACATAATAGAAATTGATGGTGTTTGTGTAACAGCTTACCTCGAATTGGTTCACACAACTTATTGTGTAACCATTAATTGTAAAGTAAAGTGACAAATATGGAAATAAAACTAAACAACAAATAGTATTTAATTGACTTTAAATTGGCTTTAATTGACTCTAAATGATGAAAAGATTCACTCAGAAGATATTAACATTTTTGGAAACCCCGCAAAGATCAGGAAATTGAAGTGCAGAAATGGCAAATCAAAGTAATCGATGACCCTCCCCACAAGGGTATCAAATAGATGCCAAGTGCCTTTTACGATTATATTTCATTTGGATTTTATTTTGGATTTCTTTGTCGCGACTCTGGCCCGCTGAAATTCAAAATCATGGCCATGGCTCCTAGCATGCGATTTCACGTTTTTCGTTATTTTTTGAATGTCTTTCGGTCTTTTACCCACACACAAGCAGAAAACACAATCACAAATACTCCGACCGAGAGACACGCAAATAAATAAATAAACATGGCTGAATAAATGAATATTAAATGGCCAAAAGCTTTGACCAAAAGCGAATAAAAGAGGAGGCAAATAAATACAAGAAATAATGGGACGAGAATAAACAAAAACGATATTCGATACGCAAATGGCAGCTAGTGTTTAAATGTTTGCGCGCCTTATCAGTTTCTTTTTATATTTTTTGTCTGTGGACTTTTGCATTTGTTTATTAGAAATCCGAGGCGGAAACTCAAAGCCTAGGCGCATGCATCCATTGAATGCGTCAAAGAAATTTCGTATTTTGATGGACGACAAAAAAGATTGGCCGCCGACGTCATGCAGCAAATATTTTGAATCCGAACATCGGGCTTGACGTTGGTTTTTCTTTCTAATGCCTTGCCGCCCACGTACGCCGGACAACAACAAAAAGAACAGCAGCTAAAGATACAGCTGCGATAGATACTTCTACACACACACACACACACACACATTGTACACACACTTATTCAAGCGAGAGCGGAAGCAACAACTTCGACAGCATAGAGGTGTGTGCGACCGAGGGGCCGTGGCGGGAGCGGAAGCCGGGGGCGGTGTGCGAAAGGGGGAGTGACAAGCTTTTGCGGTTTTTAGTTACACCGACCTCAGCTTGTTCGCCGGTACAGTGGCACAAAGCGGAGCAAGACCCATACAAAAGTAAAATTTGAAACCCAAAAACTATTGAGTGTGCTAAAAAATAACTTAACGATTATTATCATATTTAATTATTCTGCCTTAATTTATTAAAAGGGAAAACACAATATTACTATGTATAATAAAAATCTATCCTGCGTATTCGTAATATTTAAAAACATCCAAGAATTCAGACAAGAAAATATATCCGATGCTCGTAAAAGGTAAGCATTTTTAACAAATAAAAACTGTACAAATTGTGAACGTGTTGACTCAAAACAGACTCATTTTGATTGTATTATATAAGATATAAGACGAGCCCAAGCTGAAAAGCGATAATTCTTAGATTATTGGTTATCCAATTTATCCCCAGCATCGTCAATCATTTTTTGATACTAATTATGGCCTTTCAGCATGCCATTTGCCCCACTGCCACCGATGACGGTGTGTTTTGCCTTGCGCTATTGTCATTTACTTTGCGGCAAGCAATTACATGCGACAAGCCGAGCGGCAGTTTGTTGTTATTTTAGCTGTTGCTGTTGCTGCCGTTGATATTTGATGTTTGCAGCTTATGGTGTTTGTAGGCGTGGCCCAGTTTAATGTTGCTGTTGTAGCTGCTGTCGCAGTTCGCCACATTTGGCCGAGAAAATTGATGTCAGGCCGAGTTCTTTCTGGGCCCTAGCGCGAAAACATGCGTAAAAGTAGCTGCAAAAAGACAGCTCCACTGTCCGCACCGCTACGAACTGCCCCGCCCCACACCATCCACCCGCCCACTCTTCCTATACTTAATGGTTGGTGAAATTAGAATGCCTGCGCAGCAAACATGCACAAACTTTTTCGGCCAACAAAGGGGTGTGGGTTAGGGTGAGCCGATTTATTGGTCGAGCAGACTTCAACATGGAAAAATATTTTTGGCAACCAACAGTTTGGCTATTCCTTAATTGATGTCAATATTAAGATGAGAATAATATTAAAGCTTTAATTTCATAAAGTCTAGTATTCAGTACTGTTTTTGAAACAGATCAATGATATTCTCATAAGATATGCTGTCGTATATTTTCCGCCCTGGCCGAAATCAAAGTGTTAATTTGGTTCCATTCATTTGGTGAAAAGGGGCGCCACCCAACTGTGGGTGGGTGGGGGAAATTGGGGGAGAATTCCGGGAAAGGAGGGAGCGAGATGGCCTGCGTTTAACACCGGCGTTGACAGCAGCATTGGGCGCTTGGCATCTGTCAAACGTGTCATACGCAAAATAGCTTAACTGTCGTAAAAACAACAAGTGCGTCAGGCACCGGAGATCGTAAAACGCTTTATTACAATACCCCGCAAAGAGGGGGTTAAGTACGGCAAATGTGCGGCGACGTTTATGTCTCACAAGTGGATGAAGGAGAAGGTAAGGGGGCGAAAGGTAAGCACTCGAAATTGCCGTTGAACAGGAATTCCTTGGGCGCTGTTTGTTGATTTACATAATGTTTTATGTTTTTTTTTGTTTTACCCGATTTGTTTTATTTATTTATCAACTGACCCCAAAAACCGACAAGCCTCTGCTCCCCGATCTTCTTTGAACATAATTAGTTCCTACATAATATGGATAATAATTGAATGTTTTGTTACCCTTCTAGCTTACAGACTTTTAAAAAGTGCAAACTAAAACACTCCTATGAGGTATTACAAATAACTTCAACTTAAACGAAGTAAATCTCTATACAGTAATATCTCTATACTGTTTGCTCTACAAAATCAACCGTATTTCCGTTCAGTTTAGCATTGTATCTATTTATTTACATTTTTATTTCTACTTTCTTCTGGTTATTTGTTTGATTCCTTTATGGTAATGCATTATCATTTACCTGATTTATTTATTAAGTATCCTTGCCACTCTCCTTCTTTTGCCTTCCCCATTTCTCCGTTTCTTTCCGTTTCCTTTCACCCTTTACCGCTGCTTTATCTTCCTCTTCTTCTGGTCAGAACGCCAACGCCTCGCACACATACACATGGCCATAGTTTTTTGCCCCATGCACACGGCTCTGTGTGTGTGAGCGTTGGGGGTTTTAATAATAGCGCACACACACATTATAAAAGCTCCCGCTGGAGCAGAGAAATGTTGCACTAAAAACTTCAGCGCCCGCACTTCTGGCAAATATCAAACAGCAGGCAGAAATCACAAGAGCAAATACAAAACTTTCTTGCCAACACACATCCACTCTCACAATTCGCTTCCCCTTTCAGAGAGAGAGAGAGAGCGTTTGTGGGTGGAAGAAAGGGCTTAGCAGAGAGGGGGCGGGGCGGTACTGCCACAATAATACTCTTGTTGTCTGCGGCAACAGTTATGAAAAGTGCGGAAAACGGAGGGAGACCTTTTTAAAAACAGGAAGTTTGTTGACTTTTTTTTCAATTAACACAAGCGACGGCGAGAAAGAGAGAGAGAACACTTCTCTGCTTGGGGAATTGTACAATTTATGGGCTTTTGCACTATGTAAACAAATGCTTATACAACAGCCCACTATGCAGTTTATTAAATATGATTTTTCTTTTATTTTGCTTTTGTTATTCGTGTACGTTATTCGTGTATTTTTTTAATTTAACTCTTGACAATTTGTCGATTCATTTCATACTTCTTAATTTTATAAATGTACTTTGAGTTTGAATTATTTGTTACTAAAACATTTTATATATCTATGCGCATTTCATAATTTCCACACAAATTCCTTTTATTTCGATGTTATTACTTGATGAAAAGATGGCAAAATAAAACCACAACAAAAAAGCAAATCAAATCAAATCGCACGCACACACCTGCAACTAACACCCACCCGCACACATGCACATGCACAGTATAGCGTACCTCTCACAACAACAATTAGTTTGCACCAAAATGCACTGGACGTCGCTGCCGTTGCGCTGCTACTGCTCCGCTGCGTCGCTGCTACTGCGCTGTCACCGCCACAGCCGAGACTTTGTAGTTGCTTTTAGGGCTGTTTTACTTTTGTACTTGCAAACACACAAAAACAAAGGGTACACGCACACACACACCCGGCTCACTTGGCGGCGCCGCTTTCTTTACACTTTTTACAAGCAGACTTTATTCAAAAGCACACAGAAAGGCAAAAAGGCCCGCTCTCCGCTAGAGCGCTATTTCCGAATTCCAGTATGAATCCGATTCGGCGACCGTCCGGCTCGCGATGCAAAAACAAAATGAGACTGGCGACAACAGCTGGAGCAGCCCCCAATTGTTATCGATTTATCGGCATTGCATACCTGCTATCAACTGGAAGAGGGTCTGTGTATTTGCTAAGTTGGGAGTGTGTACAAGCTATTTATCGAAATGCCATACTAACGGTGAAACTAAAATTCGAAACGGGCATTTCGCGACAACTTTATTAGTTTTAACATATTACCTTGAAAGTTAAATCGTGTTGTTTAAGTTGAAAAAGTAAGTTTTGATTGAACTAGTTGCACTTCTTATTGCACCAATCCCAGATACATCCGTCCCTTGCATTGCAACCAAATTCGCCCGGATGAATGGCACAAAAAACCTCGGTATTCATATAGGTACAGCTTCCATTGGGACAGTAGTAGGTGTAGCAGCCTGGTGAGCACTTATCCCGCTGATGATCCTTGCAGCCAGAGCAATCAAGAACGTCTGAGGAAAAATTGTGTTAATGAGTGATTTTAAGGCCCAATTTTAGTTTCTTTCTAATCTCATATGGTTTGAATAGCACGAATATAATGAAAATAAACATTCGAAGACTCACCGCTCTCCTTGCACTCCGGCGTACTGCAGCCCAAAAGAGGCGGATTGGGCGGCATGACCACCCGCTTCTGGTTTTCGTCAAATACGATCTTTGGTGGCTTAAGATATACTACTGGGGCTGTACAGACTCGCGAATCGCAGAACTTCCTCTCCTTGCTGGAGCACACCCAATTGGGGGCGTAGTTGATGCAGATGCGGGGGCTCTTCACAAAACAGCAACCCGGTGGAGGATTACGGCCCGGAAATAGTTCACCGACCACCGACTGCTCCACAGTTGGCCTCAAAGTAGGATATATCCAGGGACGTCTGGTTATTGGTGGGGCTACAATATTATTCGGGACATTGGCAGGTGTACTATAATCGTAACTTTTGTCTTTATAGGGATCATATGGTGCAGATGTAATGTACTCCACCCTATTTATGTTTTCGCTGGTCACCGAGTACTTGTGCTCATTGTGGACCACATTGCCGATCTCAAGGATAGTCGTGATATATCCCGGTTCCTGGCAGCGTTTTTGATACCACACGGTTCCCGCTGGGCACGCCGATAAAATGCAACGCCCGCCGTAATATTCGCCCTCCGAACAGACGATTTTCCTACACTGCGATTCGAATAAAATTGATTCCGGCGGACAGCGAGTCAGTTCTGCAATGACGGGAGGAGGAATCGATGGGGGCTCAGGGGTTGTTGATGTTGTTGTCGTGCTGGGCTCTGTTGTGGTGGTTGTTGTTGTTGTTGTTGTAGTAGTTGGTTCCGTTGTAGTTGTAGTTGCAGTTTTACATGTGGTCTCGTTTGTTGTTGCTGTCGTAGTAGAAGTATTGGATTCAAACGGACACGGCTCAGGATTCGTACGATAACACAGTCCATCAACGTTAAGATAGTATCCTAAACGAATAAAAGGAATATAGCGAAATATAACAAAAAATTAATTCAAGATTTAAGGGTTTAACATTTTTTATTACGCTACTAATGGTAACTTAACGTTTATTACCTGTCTGGCAGTATTTGTTAGTCTGTGGATGACACAATCCATCCGCTTTTAAGTGATATCCTGATGAACGAAAAGGAACAGAAAAGTTATATCATAACAATAATATGTATGTTAAAATGTATATTAAATCTGTCGTATACTTTCTAAAATTATGAACGAGAGCATTGAATAGTTTTATTAATGGTCATAAAAGAAAATTATTTCAAGAGTTACATGTTTGGAAGTTTTTATTAAGCTACCAGGTGTAACTTAACGTTTATTACCTGGCTGGCAGTAGTTTTTAGTCTGTGGATGACACAATCCATCCGCTTTCAATTGATATCCTAATGAACGAAAAGGAACAGAAAAGTTGTATTATAACATAATAGGAACCTTTCATAATTTTAATATTTGTCGTTATTTTCTAAAATTATGAACGAGACCATCGAATAGTTTTATTAATAGTCATAACAGAAAGTTATTTTAAGATCTAAAGGTTTAGAAGTTTTTATATATTTTTTTATAAGGTTTTTTTTATAAGGCTACCATGGGTTGTTGTTGGTCTATGGATGACACAACCCATCCGCTTTCAAGTGAAATATGTATATATCTCTGAATGCCTTCTAGTTTGACAATTTGTTATCAATGAAAGTTTTTAATTAGTTTTATTAATAGTCCTAGCATGCTGCTGATTAAATTGGGCTGATTAATTAGTACAACACGATTAGTGATATTTCAGAGATTTCTAACCTGTTGGACAAACGGAAATGAGGAGGCACTGGCCGTTGACATATTGATACCCCGGCGGACATGTCGGCTCCTACGGTAATATTATTGCATAAGAATAGGCAGCACTCATCATATTACGCCACGTTCGCTTACCAAGATGTCTGCTAGAGCATTTCTGCGGAATAGGAGGGTGATTAGGCAGGCGACCAGAGCCAATCCCAATGATTTTACGAGCATACTGTTTAAGTTCCGGGAGAATATCTTCGGAACCTGCGACACAGATTTGCGATGCACGGCGGTCCGCACTTAAAAAGAGACTAATCGAACCCCGATTCGGCGATGTGCTCACTGGGATGTTTTTGAATTGGAAGCATAATTGCTGGCGCTGCGATAACCTTCATGAGATAACAGTGAAGGTCGCTTGGGCTACAGCTGCAGTGGTACCGAATCCCCGTACTCGGTGAGCCGGCTTAGTTCGAATCAGAATGTCTAATCGCAAAGAGTGTAGCTGGGTGCAGCGGCTGCTGCTGCTAATATGCATACTTCCAGCGAGGGTTATCACCAATTATATACCAAATCCCTGCCAAATTGGTAAGTTCGACTTGGAAGCCGTTATCCATCATTCCATTAATGACGTCTTTGAAATCCCAGGTCAGGGAAATGCCAATGGCGGTTGCAGCCCCACTATTGTGAATGTGTATAATAACCAGTGCGGGGGTCAAACAGGGATTGTATGCAATCCTCCCAATCCTGTGACTACTGTTCTTCCTGGTACTCCCGGTTGCCCCAACACTCCTCAATATCCTACAGTGAATCCGGTTGTTCCTAGTACTCCCGGTTGCCCCAACACTCCTCAATATCCTACAGTGAATCCGGTTGTTCCTAGTACTCCCGGTTGCCCCAACACTCCTCAATATCCTACAGTGAATCCGGTTGTTCCTAGTACTCCCGGTTGCCCCAACACTCCTCAATGTCCTACAGTGAATCCGGTTGTTCCTAGTACTCCCGGTTGCCCAAACACTCCTCAATGTCCTACAGTGAATCCGGTTGTTCCTAGTACTCCCGGTTGCCCAAACACTCCTCAATGTCCTACAGTGAATCCGGTTGTTCCTAGTACTCCAGGTTGCCCCAACACTCCACAATATCCTACAGTGGATCCAATTCTTCCTAGTCCTCCCATTTGCCCCAACACTCCTCAAAATCCTTGCACAACACCTACACCAACAACAACTCCCCCAAGTGTTACTGAACAACCAGCGCCGGCACCTAAGTCTACACCTCTCCCGACCCCAATCCCAGTCACTATGCCACCACCAGCTCCCATTATCCGATGTCCAGAGGGAACAATCTTGGTGAGAGGTGTCTGCCGTCTACTTTTCTGCGGAGAAAATAGCTTATACGCCGAAGGTCGCTGCATTCGGACCCGCTGTCCAGCAGGATATGTTTGGACGGGAATCCGGTGCTCGAAACCACAGCCATTGGAACTCGGTACCATCCACATAGAGAACACTATTCACCAGCTGCCTGGAACACAGCCCCCCCTGATCCTAAACAATGTGAACAACGTCAAGGTAAACGCCTCCATCACTATCCCAGGACTAGTCTCTGAGGAGGAAGAGGATGAGGAAGTGGTGGCGCCGCAGCCACCTTCAACACCCTGCTGCATTGTATACGCTCCTCGGGTCTGCACCAACCAGGTGGGTCAAGTGCAGTACAAGTGCTTCAGCAGGAGCCAGCAGCAGTGTGGTTCCTTCTGCAGTGCCAACAAGGTGATGCTCGCTCCGCCAGCAGTTACTACCTGGACGCAGTCCAACAACCAGATGGTGGTCATCCCTCCCAACTGGGCAGGTCAGGGCTGCCAGTCCAATTATGGCACTTGTCAACAACCTCAGAGTGAGTTTAGTAATATTAGTTCCACGGATTAAGCCTCATTTCTTCTGGGTTTCCCCTTTAGACCTCTATGACTGCAGTGGCTGTGCGTTGGCTGACTTTTCGACCTGCTCCTCGTACTGCTACTCCTACAAATGCAGCACCCACAACTGTGCCTACTATGATCAGGCCCAATACTGCTCCCAATACGCTGGCCAAATCGGATGCCGGCCGGAAGATGGATGGGCTCTGAGTGGATAACTCTCGAAAAGGGCAAAATATATAAACCACATATGTAAATTAATTTATAGAAATTTACAAGATATATAAAAAAGTAAAAATATATTAAAATATTTTTCAAAAGTGTGGGCGTGACAGTTTTGGTCGGTTTGAGGGCGTAATATATATATTAAAAAATGAATAATATCACATTTTGCAATTTGGGCTGTTTGTGGGCGTTAGAGTAGGCGTGACAACAAACAAACAAACTTTGGAAACAAACTTTCGCTTCGTCTATGTCTCTGGAAGCTGCATAATCTCAACATTTTAGCTTTTGTTGTTCCTGAGATCGAGATGTTCATACGGGCAGACGGACGGACATGGCCAGATCGACTCGACTATTGATCCTGATTAAGAATATATATACTTTATATGGTCGCAAACGTTTCCTTCTGCCTGCCACATACTTTCCAACAAATCTAGTATACCCGTGTACTCAACGAGTAACAGGCATAAAAATGCCTTCAATAAATACTTTTTTAAATGATTGAAGAAATGCAAATTCTAATAATAATCTTTTTTATAATACAACAGCCTATTTGATACGTAAAGAATCTCACAGTTCCGGTTGACTATAAACTATTTTATCTGCAATAGTTCTAAGATTTGACGTCATAGTGCACAGTATTGATATGAAACAGTGCGTCATATCCCAACATTCCGAGCGCCAAGGCAGCAAAAAGCTCTGCCTAGATGTGTGGAAAGCGGATGTATCTATAATGTGTACGTTCTGACACCAGTTGGCAATGACTGGTGAAGTGCAAAATCCTTATCAGTCATAGAATCTGCTTGAAATCCATTCGCATGAGCTATATTTGTGGTGCTTCTAGGAAAACCGTGGAATTGCAAATGACTCAGGTAATTGAGTGAAAGCTTCACCAGTAATCAATTCCTTGATAGTGTTATCTAAACTTATCTTCGAGGGTAACTATGATGGCTGGTGGCATAAATTGAACTACTGCAGTTTAAACTCTACTCTTGGCACAATCGGATGTCCCATAAGCTGGAAGCAAACCAAAGGGTCCGCCAGACATTCGATAATGCCACATTCCGAGGTCAGTAATAAATTCGCGAATTCGCGAAAAAAATTCAAGGCAATTGGTTTATTTTTACTATTGCTATCAGTGAGTGTTCTGAACTTTGGCTGATGGTCCGATAGTAGCCAATTTAATGGTCCCATTTATTATTGAAGATAACATCACATGTTATTAGTCTTGGCAGATGTAGTGGCACATGTATTTTTACATAAATTAGGTAAAACCACTAATTGCTCACGTTTTAGACTTTTAGGATGTATTGTATTTCCCAAGACTTTTAGAAATTAACATAAGGGTCAGCTTACACTGTGGCTTTCTTTACTTTATTTTGCAAAAAATAGACAAAGGTTTGGACTCTAATTTTATCCTAAAGAAAACATTTTGATTTAAAAAGTATTCCCATATTTTGGAAAAATTACAGTTCAGGAAATGGTGTATATTTTAAATCAACGATGAAGGCATTTTTCGTGTGATTAGCTTTAAACTTCAGTTAAAAGCTTTCTAAAAAAAATGCAACGTAAACGATTATATTTTCGCAGCTGAAACTGTGGGTTGTATGTGGACTACTCCACCTGCTGACCTTTGGTGCCACCGCGGAGGATCAGCCTAAAAACAAAACGATAGTTATACACACTCCTCTCCAGAACTACGATCAACCCACTCTCCATGACTACGAGGAATGCCAGGATAACAGGGACAATTGCATCAATGTCTGCGCTGGCAAACGGTTGTGCGAGGACGAGTGTCCTGTTTGCCCGGAGCTGTACGACAAGCCCCTGATGGTTCAGGGCATTAACGACACAAACATAGTGGACCGTTCTCAGGCCCCTATTAATACGACCAACATTGTTCGGCTGACCAACGAAATCCACAATATAATCGAACACCAAATCCAAAATCGCAATGAGGTCAATGTCCAGGTGCAGCAGAATGTCTCACAGGTGGGGGGACGTTTTGGATTGGGCTACACTGACAAGGGATCCTGCTGCTTTGTGGTGCGTTTGGATCGGGACTGTGAGAAGGTGGATGGTCGCCATTGCAGGGAGAAAAGCAGACAGCTAGTCTGTGGCGAAAAGTGTCAGGCCAAAGTGATGTTGGCCAGAAGAGTGGTGCAATGTGACGCCGAAGACTCGGATCAGTGCCACGAGACCATCGAATTTGTGCCCCGGAGAAAGAAAATCCACCAGAGGAAGTCCACCGAAGCTACACCCTGTCAATACATAGGCAACAGGTGGCCTTATTTCAATTGCCGGCAAAATCCAGGCCAAAATGGAAATTTCGTCCAGCCGACGAGGGTGAAACGCAATACTTGCCAGCAGTGTCTCAATTATCCCTACGGGTACATTCTGCAGTATGGTCTGCAAGCCCAATGTGCAGCCTGCTTCCAGGGATACGGATCTCCACCCATGTACTCCAGTCCTATTTTGATGTACAATCCCTACGTGGCGTATCCAATCATTAACAATTTCCCGCCCACAAACGACAACAACTATGCAGACAACGACGACACCGATGTAGACAAGACCAACGCAGGTTCAGATGACGAAGGATGGAACTTATGTGACGGCACCCAAAATTGCCCAAGCGCGGAGGACACCATAGATGCTCAGCAAGGGTCACCTGGACATCCACCAGTCGATGAAGATGAATGGGACGACTACAACGTTCCAGCCCAGCGAAGGAGACGCCGTCAAAGCCCCCGCCACTTTGCGAGATCATCTTACAGCACACGGAATCGCAACTAATCAATGCCAGATAAAGCCACAAACTTCCCAGATTTTCTGCAAGCACTTTGCTTCCGCAACTATAAGTATTTTTCTTTAACCAGAACGTAGATTTCTTTAGATAACTACTACTATGCTCGCCATTTCTGTATAATAATATTTCCTTTACCGAATTAAAGTGATGTTGCAAATTAAAAAAATTATTATTTGAAGTCTTAATAGCCTTATTCTAAGAAAATTTATTCCTGGGATTTCCCCTCTTAGGAATTAGCTGCCAATTATCGCTGCTTATCAGTATTTCAGTTGGTAACATGCATCAAAATGTACTTTATATAACGATTTATTTGATAGGCAGGGTATAAAGCATGGTGACAGGGCGGGGAGACCCCGTTCTCCTTATAGACTAAACAACGTTTAATAAAATCTGGACTCGACGTGCTCGAATGCTTACGCTTGCGATCTGGGCATACATAATATTAATAATTTGATTAGACATTTGTTCTGGTATTCCAATTGCAGGTAGATAGTTTCGAAGGCTTCCGAGCGGGAGTTTTGCCCCCATTTCGATGAACATTGGTGGAACAAGACTACTGGAACTTATGGTAATATTGCGCGTGTGTTGATTTTAGTTGGCTTGCTCGCTACAATTATAAGGGTCATCCATTTGGCGAAGTACTCTACTTAATGCCCAATTCCTTGAGCTCGGTCTCCTCATCCACGGAGTCCTCATCATCCGAACCGTGGACCGATGGAGCTGGTGTGGTGTGTCCTGGCGATAAACATTTTATTAGACAATTCATTTTTCATTTGTATAATAACAGCACAATCGCGTATAAATTAAATATTTTCATTTCCGCCTTCAAGATCTTGCTAAAAACTTTAGTAGTCTAAAAGTATTCAATCATTTTTGCACAGCTTTATCAGTAAATATAATAGAATTGCACTCACGAACATTAAAGCGAGTTAATATTCGCAGCGCTCTTTTGGACTTCATTATTTAACATTATTTAACAAGTTCGGGCTTACTACTTAACAAAGCTGACGGGAATTTATTCACGTTTTTTATTACTTAATGAGAATCGTAATGCTACAAAGTGGAATGTCCAACAGCTGTTTTATTCAAGACTGTGTAACGAATAAAATCTTTTTGAGCGAAAGTACATCAAAAGTATTTAAAAATGCATTTACATTGGAGTGTATTGAATAAATTTGGATGAAATATTTATTTTTCTAGCGATCTGCGTCTTCTTCCTGCCACTTACGCGATGAAGTAGGACTGGGAGGTTCGCTGTGCGGTCGCGAGAAGATCAAGTTGTTTTTCGATCCATAGAGGGACAATTCATCCACATAGTCTGGGTAAACAGCCTGCAGGGCCTTAACCCTGGCCTGTCTGTAGTACTGCAAATAAAAGCGAGCATCATCGGTTAATAATGTGAAATAATGTGAAAAATGCGTAAACTAATATTAATATTTGAACGCTTCTGCGGCTTTTGATGTAACTAAACCCAATGAATACTAACAATGCCCAGGGTGCGCCAGTCCAGAAGATCGCTCAACCGCTCAGTGCGATTACGCTGGATGATGCGCTGGCGACGGTTCAGCCTGGAGAACTCCATCATGAAGCTGGACAGCTGCTGAACGCTGTTCTCCAATCCTATATAGCGGCGGTCCACGATGTAGATACCGTAGGACTTGGGATCACTTATGTGCTCCTCCATGAAGCAGCCGAAACCGGACAGATTGGTGGTTACGCTAGGAATTCCCATCACCGTACACTCGGCGGGAGTGTAACCCCAGGGCTCGTAGTATGAGGGGAAGACACCCAAGTGGCAGCCACGGACAAATTCTTCGTAATCGATTCCAAACAGAGGGTTTGTGGATGTGAGGAACTCCGGATGGAAGACCATCTTGACGCGATCGTGGCGCGAGTTAAACAGATGGCAACGACGTATTGAGGATAGCACCGGATCGTTCCAGTCATCAGCCACATTGTGCGTGGTAACAGGCGGCATCGAATCGCGCTGCATGGCGAACATGCAACGCTTGATCTTGACCAGGTCATCCTTCTGGAGGAGATCATCGGCATTGGGGATGTTGCCCTGCAGGCAGGTATCGAACATACGCTTGCCCACGGCCTGTTGGACATTGTTGATCGTATCTCGCAACTGCTTGATCACGGCATGTCCTCGCAGCGAGTCCACGTTGAAGTTGTTGGTCTTGGTGGGGAAGATGAGGAAGGCCACCACCGTGGTGTCCGGCTTCTCGTGCTTCAGCATCGCATTCAGACGGGCCAGCGCCTCGATGAAGATGTCGGCTCCCTTATTTCCGAACTCATAGCGACCGGCGATAAAGAAGTACAGGGTCTTATCCAAATCAAAGTCAATGTGGCTATAGAGATAGAGAATATAATTGGATTTAAGAAAGTGACTACCAATATTATTTATTACTACACAACTTTCACATGAACGAGCATTTTGTCAGATTCAGATAAATCAAGCATACTCGTAGAATGGAAATATCAATAGCTCTGATCATTAATTGATTATCCCCAAATTTATTTCTATCTAAAGTGTAAATCAATATAATCCCTTTAGTATTAATCTTTAAGTTCCATTCTAACATTAAAGTATTATAGACATGAAATCATATAATCATATACGTAGCTTATAGAATGCCATGCCTCTATCGATTAACCTTTATTCAAGGGTGTAGAATATTGAAAACATTTCCGCATAACATTTCCTTCAGATAATACTATCTATCTATCTAATACTATCTCTCGTTGGATTGTCATTGCCAATTAGGTCAAAAACTACATATTTGCAGTCTTATGCGGATAACTGATATTGAGGATTTGGTAACCAGGAGATCGGTATTGTGTACTCACCCGTAGAAGTGACCCCGCACGAATTCGTTGATCTTTTCCTTGGCAACGGCGTGCAAATTCTGGAACTCGTGGATGGCCGAGAACTTCTTCACGTTCAATCCATTCGGCGTGATGATGTCCGGCTTGCGCTTCAGCAGATGCTCCGCCTCGTAGCCCGTAATCTCGGAGACGGTGGTGAACACGTGAGCCAAGTGGGTGGCACCTCGCTCCAGGCAGTAGCGATGGTAGATTTGACGCTTGCCCGCCTCTTCGTCCACGGCGAACTTGTCCAGGTTATTGTAGAAATCGGTGTTGCCGGCGCACAAGTAACGACCCAACAATGTTGCATGGGTGGTGAACACAGTGGCAATCTCCACCAGACGTGTGCGCAGCACAATGAGACCCACGCCAGCTTGCCATTCGTGGAAGTGGGCGACAATCCTCGGAGCACTCAGTTCATTGTTTTGAGAATAAGTCACGGCAAAGTTGCGGAACTCCTCCAGAAATTCGGCAATCATAAAGCCCAGGATAATGGCATCGTTAGTCTCGATATCCAAATGAGGTATTCCAATGTGGCACTTTTCCCACATCTCCGATTTAAACTGATCCAACTTCCAGGCGGCGGATCCAATATCAAACAGAATCAGTTGAGGATTGCCGTCCACCAGCCAACGACCGGTGTGGATTTTATAGCCTCGCGAGCGCAAGGAGTTGACAGCATCTAGCAGGGGATTTCCCCTGGGGAACTCCATCTCCTCCATCTCGGTGCGGGCACAGTGCTCCTTGTAGGGACCCATCATGCACAGCTGCTCACCCATCTCCTCGGTGGAGACATAGGCCTTCGACCGGATCACCGTGTAAATGCCGCCCACCTTGTTGGCCACCTCCCATGCCACCTCGAAGTTCCAGCGATTCTCCCGCGAGGCGATGTCACCTCGATCGAAATAATCCTTCAGGTCCGCCCCGGACTCCACTCTCGAAAAGCGTCGATTCATCTGGAACGAAGTATGAAATAGAAGCAATTAGTTTTCGTATAATCAGCGTTTCGTCCTGCCTTAAGTTATTCCGCACCCTCAGGGCGTAAGAGGTGGACTCATTGTCCTCGAAGCGGTAGGACTGCTGTCTGCGCATCTTCTTGATATGCTGGGAATGGGATGCTATAAACTAGGCGCCGCTGATCTGTAGCTGAACCTCTCCGCTGAGGCTCTCGATGCGGACTGATAGTGTCAACTAAATTTAGCCACCGGCTTGACCCACATTACAAGCATCGATTCCTTATCGCTTTACACTTGTACATTAAACCAAAACGTTTACTTCGTAAATACAGCTATGAGTTGAAAAAATATTTTAAAGGAATGTGCAGTTTGATGCATTCTACACAGCCTTGGGTATGTCCAAAAAATTGAACTCATAGGTTTTTAAGTTCCGATCGGTCTAAATAGGAGTAACCTGGCTGAAGAACATCTCATTTATCGCGGTGCATCGACCGCGCTTGATGTTTCGCGCTGTTGGTATTGGTATTCATTGTCATCACATGCCGGCATTTGTTGCATCACCACGCAGCGAGGTGCGATCGATCCGCTATCAGCCGAGTGCAGTTGCATCGCTGCAGTTTATGGACTGATAAGCGCTTCTATGCGACATCGCCCATGTCCCTGACAGTCGGTCACTTATGTACATACGTGCCATATTATAACATACTATAGCTATAGACGAGGCGTCCGTCCATAAGGCAAAGGTCTATTTTCGGATGTCGGAAATGTTCAGCCTCATTGGTGAGCAATGATGAGTTTGCCAATTTTCCGCTCTATATTTATGTATATGTATACATGCAAATTTGGTAAATGTTTCAATTGTCAACGTCACAAATTAAGAGGAAAATGCTGAAGGCGTCAGGCTTAGAGTTCGTCTTCTACTTACTTAGTTTTCCAAAATATTTATGTTCAGGTTTACTCATCTTTTAAAAGTTAATGTCATAGCGGGCTTGTACATTGCTAATTGAACTGTCCAGAATGACCTTGGCAAACGAAGAAACCGTAAAATATTAATTGGCTCAGAGAGCCGAGGCAATGAAATCATTTAACATTGTAATTATCTTATCGGTGTTGATATAACAAAATACGTTCCATAATATCTGGCCTTAACTTTCTCTACGCCGGCTCTGTATTAATATATAATTTATCTGGATTTGTACCTAATATAAATCGAATCACTCATTGGCCATCGCCTAACACCCAAATTTATTAAGACTACCTTTGTACTGCCATACCTTGTACTTCCTAAGTTTGCGCTGTTATCTTTACTGAAACTCAAACTATTACTCAGGATATGAGTGGAGAAGAATTA